CCCAGGGGGCGTTATGGCCCCAGCACCTGCTCCCAAAGGGGGCAGCTAGCCCACCAGAGCCCCTCTAGGCTCCAGCTCTATGGTCAACCAGGAAGTATTGTGTTCCGTATGGGGTACCCTCTGGCCCTGAACTCTATGGTCAGCTTCCCCTCCCAGCCTGCACCCCCTTGGGCCCCACTAGCTTGCTACTCTATGGTCAGCAAGAAACTAGCCTAGGTCTTGCAATGGATCTCTCTAGCCCTGAACTCTAGCCTGGACTCCTGTCCAGTCTGCACCCCAATACTCTAGCCCAGCACCCTATGGTCAGCTCCCTACCCCCAGGGCCCCACAGGCTGGCACTCACTCCCGAAGGCAGGGAAGGCAGCAAAGGCAGGGGAGGGCTGGGGGGCGGCGAAGGGGTCCCCTCCAATGTCGGCCAGGAGGTCCGTGCTGGGTTTCTTGGTGGTCTGGGGCGTCCAGTGCTGGGATGGAGGTGGCTGAGAGATGCAAAGGGTTACAAACCCAGGCGTCCGGGCTCCTAGCCCCTGCCCTAACCGCCAGATAACACCCCTACCTAACTGGGAGAGAACCCAGGTGTCTGGGTGGGGGCAGATGAACTGACCTGGCTGACTCCAGCGTCGGGCAGCAGAGTCCCGGAGTCACCCAGGAGGGATGGGGCTGGCTTGGCCTCGGGGAGGCAGCTTTGGCTAGTGGGTGGGGGCACGGCTTTGGCTTGATCGGGCAACAAGTACCTGCCCGGGGACAGAGATGGCAACTGTTAGTCACATCCCCCTGACCCCAATCTCCCGGCCTGGCAGGAACAGGGGATCTGTGGTCACTTCCAGGGGTCCAATCACCTGCCAGGATGCCCGGGTCCTCTTCATGGCCCTACGAGGGGGCTCGAGTTGTACATGCTAGAAAGTAAAGGAACCCAGGTGTCTGGGAATGCACCCCCTCTCCCCCCACTCTTACCATCGCTTCTTCTCGTATTTGTCCTGCAGGAAATCCTTCACCTTCTGCGGGTCCCTGGAGTCCGGGAGCAGTGACGTGCGGGGGTCAAAGGTCCCCAGCCACACCTTCCGGCAGGCCTGCACAGGGGGCAAGAGACCATTAGAAATGGGGAAAGGGGGGCCAGAACCCCAGACACCTGGGTTTTGTTGCTCCTGTGGGAGGGTTGTGGTGGCTGATAGGTTAAATCAGGGAGTGGCCCGGACACCTGGGTCCCACTCCCGTGCTGGGGGTGATGGGTATGAGCTGCCCTGCAATGGGGGAAGTCTACCCCCCTGCCATGCTCACCTCATTGCCACGGGACTGCAAGAAAAGCACCTCGGCCTCGGTGAAGGTTGTCATGGAGATGGACTTGACGCGGTGAGGGGGATTCAGCCCCCGCCTGCAGGACGGATGGATGAGGAGGGCAGAGGTCAGGGCCAAAGTCCCCTGCTCTCACTCACTAAACCCCAGGGTTGGGGGTGGGGCTGGGAGGAAAGGCAGCTCATTTGTTAGAAGGGGGCAGGGGGTGCTGGGAGACCAACGCCTGGGTTCTTTCCCAGTGTCAGGGCCCAGACAGACTCGTTCCCACCCCAGTTTGGTCAGGATTGTAAAGAACAGAAAAGGGCTTGGAAAGACCCCCTCACTGCTGGCAGAGAACCCAGGCTTCCGCCCCCAACCTACCCCCCCAGGACACAGCTGACCAATCCCCAGCCCTGCCCCTCCCCTTGGGCCTGACAGGCCTATGAATCCCCGCCCCTATCCTCAGTAGCACCGCCCACCCCTGGGAGGGGCCTGGCCATCCTCGTGTCCCCCTAAGCCACGCCCCCAGGGTCGTCCTAGCCAGAGCCCCGCCTCTTAGAAGCAGGAAACCCCGCCCTCTCCTCTAGTCCCGCCTCCCCATGTGACGTAATCTACCCAGCAGCTCCCGCCCGCCCCTTCCACCTGGAGCCC